CGCGGCCCCCGCCAGGCTCAGCCCCGCGCACCTCCTCCTCCCGCCCAGGTGCGCCCGGCCCCGCCCCGGCCCGCCCCGCCCTCTCCAGCTCACCTCCCTGCGGACCGGCCCCACTCTGTCACTCCCGGAACCCGAGAGGAGGAGGGTAGGACACCTTGTGTACCGGCTCTTCCACAGGTGTGGGATTCCCAGAATCCTCCTCCAAGCCCACTCTACTGCCCACCATCTCCCCCCGATTCCCTTTAGGCTGAAAAGTCCCGCTTCACCCCCTTTTCCTAACAGCCAGGGCCAACTTGGACTTCGACCAAGGAACTGGGAGTCTGGGACGCTCCGTCCTCCTCCCAACCCCTCCTTGCTTTTTGCACAGCCTAACCCCAAATCGTAATCGCTATCCCTAGAAACGGTTTTTGCCAAAGAACTTCAAAATAGGCTCTGTATTCTGCTACAAGTCAAACGCCGTTGAGACAGAATTGCCCCCACACTGTCCCCTCCGTGGCACACTCATCATCACACGATGAGAGGGGAAAACTTATGTCGGTTATGATAGGTGTTTAGCAAAAGAGGTGCAAGTCTGGTGACCTGAAGGTGAATCTCTATTAACGTGTTGGAACTTGACCTTCCCTGAAAGCCTGATGCCTGTGATGAATGTGCTTGGTAAACTGTGAAGGCCTACCGCGGTGTGAATCATTGTTTACACCGTTCCAGGAGTGAGGAATAGTGCAGCATTGAGAGTGAAACTATTCCAGCAGGGCCTTAAAATCTAGGTGGCTGTGAATCTTCACATTCCGGCTCAGTCTGAAAAAACGGTCGGCTAGGGCTTTTACCCCTTATGAGTAAACTCTGGGGTCCCCATCTTTGCCTAAGACTTGTAAGAATTGAATAAGCTTACTCACTTGAAAAAATAATAATAAAATTGACAAATAAGGATTACAGGAGGTCAGGGTCCTGAGTTGGTTTACCACAGTACCCTCAGCCCCACACAAGGTAGATGCTTGGCAAATATATATGGAAATGTGGCTGTGTAAGGAAAAAGGAAGATGATCTATGACCTCTGCCCTCAAGGAACTTAAGATTTGACCCAAGAGTAAATAAACATATAGAAAAAAAAAAAAGATATTGCCTTGTGCTCTTGGTAATTGCCAAGTGAGTGTGGCTAATGAACATTCCCAGCCACAAGAGCAAGAAATGCTTCTGGCCTGGGATGGGCAAAGAGTCAGTGAAGGGAGTTAAACTGTGCCTTCAAGCTGAGTGGGGAAGATTCAACTAGGCAGAAAGAAGGATGAAGGTCTTTCAAGTAAAGAGGGAAAACATGAGAAAATCGCCAAGGTGGTATGATGCAGAACCTATTGGGCACTGAGAACATGTCATGCTGGCAGGAGAGAGGGATAACATAATGGGGAAGCAGGAGAAAATATTAGAATAGAGGCGGGTAACACGCTACAGAAAACCTTAAATCCTGTCCTCTTAAACTGTGTGTGTTTACTGGAAAGGGCTCTCTTTAGTCATTACAGTTTCCAAATACTTATCACATATATTTATTCAAGGCTGAAGTCCTACTTGTTTGTACCATATAAGGCTGCACCAGTTTATATAATGTTGAAATACTTCCATTCCAGTTGGTAATCAGTCATTGTCTTGAGTCCTAGAATGCCACTCCATACTCCAAACTTCCTCCTGAAACACCAACTAAAGGTCCAGGAGAACTTTAGTCCTGGTCCAGGAGAGGCCCTCCAGGACAGTTTTGGTCACCATTCGTTCTGATTAGTGGGTGCTTGTGCCTTTTCACTGGCACCGTGAACCTACTCTGCTCCAACATAGAACACACGTGTTCTGTCTCCTAATCCAGATTCTTGGTCTTCACTCTCTTTCACACAGCTTCTCAACGCAAGATCAGGGAGTTTGGACTTTATCCCATAGATTCTATGGCATTGACCAAGGGTCTAAAACTCAATATCAGTTAAGGGCCTTTGGAAAGTAGGCTTAGGTTAAGGGGAGAAATGACAATTGCTATTCAGCTGCAGTATAATGCAGACAATAGGGAATAGTAGAAATGTGTAAACAGAAGAGCCATGGCACTGTTTAGGTCAAATCAAGCAATGTTCCACCCCAGGACCTTTACAATTGTTAAACCCGCTGCCTGGAATACTCTTCCTCTGCAATGTTGTCCAATAGAACTTTCTGCAGTGGTGGAAATGTTCTAAATCTGTTTTGTAGCCACTAGCCACATGGGCTATTGAGTACTTTATTGTGGCTAACATGCCTGAAAAACTGAATTTTTAATTTTAATTAATATAAATTTAGATAACTACATGTGGCTATGGGCTACTCTATTGGAAAGCAAAGTTCTACAAATCCATGTTTTCCTTCCTCTACTCTTTCAGTTTTTTTAACTCAAATGTTTCCATCAGTGAGGCCTTCGACGACTATATGATTTAAAATTATAGCCCTTTCTATCCACTCCTGACCCTTCACAGAGGTTATTGCCATCCAACATTCTATGCATTTTACTTATTCATTTTGTCTATTGTCCGCCTCCCCACAATAAGAATGTAAGCTCCATAAGGGCCCGAATGTTTCTTTCTTTTTGTTCAGAATCTAGAATATATTAGTTAAACAGTTGAATTTTTCTACATGTGAGTACCCAGTTTTTCAAAAAGAGCTTAATCTGGATTTTTACATAAAGTCTCCTGATTTTGCAATGTTGAAAATTTAAAAGAAAAATCTAAATCCTATGTATACCAACATCACACAAGTCAAACAAAACCACTGAGGTACCAGAACCGATTTTTAGTTACATTAAGCTAAAGTTTATGGAAATACTTATGGTAAGAAACACAAGTTTTATTGGCTATTTGCAGTGAAGGGAATTTGGAGACCAGGGAGATAACTTTGACAATTAATTAGCTACAAAGAGATGAGGGTCTGAATTTGTGGGATCAGTGGAAACAGAGGGAGGTTAGATGTCAGACATTAAAAAGAAAGCTGCTCAGGCCTTGGACATGTGTTAGGAGAAGTAGAATAGCACTTCAGGTGGTGTTACAGATTATATTTTACAAAGATGACCAACCCAGTATCTCCTATCCTCCAAGGTCTTCTCCAGTATGATCTTGCCACTCTCGCATGAAGAGACGGGGTTTGTTTCTCCATCCCCTTGAACCTGGGCAGTCCCTGTGACTACATTGGCGAATAGAATACAGCAGAGGTAACAGTGCCAATTCTGTAAGTAACCCTTCATTAGCCTGCTGGCTTCCACTTCCTGCTCTCTTGGAATGCTCACTCTTGGAATGCTCCCACTCAGAATCCAGCTTCCTTGCTTTGAGAAGCCCTTGCCACCTGGAGAGCCCATGTGGAGGTGCTCTGGCCATTTGTAAGCCACTTTGGATACCCAGTGCAGCCGAGCCTTCACGTGACTCCTATACTAGCCAACATCTGACTGCAACCACAGGTGAGGAGCCAAAGCAAGCGCCACTCAGCTGAGCCCGATCAACCCACCGAACTATGAGAGAGAATAACAAATTGTTTTAAGACACTAAGTTTAGAGGTATTTGTTACACAACAATAGGTGACTAGAACACATGGTTCAGATACGTGTGAAGAACATACTTCCTTGTGAATAAAAAAGAAGGAAATTTGTATGCATATTTGTATGTGTGTGAAGAAACTTGAAATTTCTTGCCCGTAGTTGGAATTGGCTACATGGGGAAAGGAAAGAAGGGAGATTTTTCAAATACAACTTTTTATATTTTTTGGCTTTTTTAAAACATGTAAATGCATTACCTATTCAAAAAAAATTAAATTTAAAAAATGGCTGTAGATTTAGAGAAGTAAGAGAGGTGAGGGATCTGGTTTTGAGGGTTTTAGTTTTGCATAGCAGTTAAACTGACTCAATTAATGGGCACCCAAGTGAAAATCTGACCAGCAACAGCAGAGGGTGAGCTGGAACTCAAGAGAAAGGGCTAGAGATGTAGATATGCCAGCGTCCAAAAATATGATAGTAAAGGGTGGAACTAGACTAAGGTGCTCAGGGTATAGAGGAGGAGCAAAGACAGTTACCCCTTCCTAAGCTGGGCCCTTGGAGAACACGCATCAGATGACTTTCCATTCCTAGTTGTATGAAATTTGGAGTAGTGACTCTCATGGCTTTCCCTCCTTTAGTTTTTGTGGTCCCATGTGATTACCAAGAATACCAAGGAAAGCATCCATCAGCTGGGCTTACCCTTGTATTTTTCCACTCCCTTTGTACCTGCTTGTCTCCTAATTAATGTACAGAATGCGTGTCATGCTAATGAGTCTCCTAATACTTTAACTATCAGGACTTTGGTGAGTCCTCCTTAGAGTCCACACTTTCCCAATGTCTCCTGTTTTTAATTTTGCCCCCATTTAAGATGTTTTGCATTGCTTTACCAGCTCTCAAAAATAGAAAACCTAAAGAGAATTTTGTCTCCCTATTCAAGCCTGCCAACACTTAAGTATGTAACGATCAAAACGGATTTAATATGATCTTCTAAAGGGCCAAGGTTGAGCAGTGGGAGGTCAGAAGGCAGATCTTGCACAAGAAACACAATACTGTCCATACTGCCTCTACTGAGAATGCCAGATTGAACCATCTGTGTACCTAACACTATTTTTGTGTTTTCTTATGGAATGAATATGCAATTGGAAG